TCTTTGATGAATTAAGTATATTTCTCTAGAATTTAGCATATTAAACTGATGTGCCACTTTATTGATTTCTTATTTATGATGGGTTAATTAGATATTTTTCTAATACCTACAATATTCAAAGTTCTTAGAGAAGAGCAAATTCTAAAACATGATCTCTGACTTTATAGAGCTTGTTGGTGACAAATTACAGATAGCTCGCAATTCAGGCTTTAGCTTTATTCTAGATTGTAGGAAGCAAGAAGGTATTTGAAGTTTTTTCACCCTCTTTTTATAAATAGTTGACATGATTGGAACTCTCTAATATGAAGTGGTAATAGGGCCACCATTATGGAAATGTGAAGATGGAGGAAAGAGGGAGGAATATGGAGAGTTTGATGGTAGGAGGTCTTTAGAAAACTCTTGTGGTACTTAGTAGGCAAGGTCAGGGTGACATATTGAGTATGGATTAGCATGGGAGAGGAATGGAAGGATAGATTCAATTCAGTAATTTCCCTACATGTTGGTACCTATGGAAGAGGTGGAATTCACAGGGGCTATAGGATTTCTGTGCTCTACCATCTAAAAATAAGGGTGGCAGTTAGAGTAAAAGCAATCCTAAAAGGATAGATAGTTCTGGAAGTTGGATTTGGACATCTTGAGACCATGGGCTCTTAGAATCTAGCAGGCAGCTAGAACAAAGGAGTAAGAAAAGTTTTACCTAGTTATGACATTGGATTTGATTAGATTATTTTCTTTCTACATTGTTCATTACCTTTATGTTACTACTGGATGAGAGTATTTAAATTGCTTTTATTGGGTACATTTAGAGGAAATGTCCATAGGTTTCAGTTTCTATTTTAAGGCTACCTTAATGTGAGAAATGATGAGGTAATTTAGCTGTGTTCTATTTCTGATTATCTGTCTATCTGTCTATCTGCCTGTCTGTCTGCCTATCTATCTACTTACCCACCCATTATCTATCTATTTTAATGCTTTACCTAAAATAAAGGTCAAGCATTGGCTAAAATAAAATCTGGGATAAATTATTTGATACTTTCTCTCATCAGGATTCAAATTTCAATTCATTTGCTCAGTTTGGAAGGGAATAGATTTTCCTTTGCTCTGTCAATGAAGTCTTTCAGATTTAACTTTTTTAGGATTAGATCAATACCTTTGTGCAGACAGCTCACAGATAAACTTTTATTTATTTTTTATTTTTTTATTTTTATTTTTTTTAAAGATTTTGTTTATTTGTCAGAGAGAGTACAGGCAGGGGGAGCAACTGGCAGAGCAGGCAGAGGGAGAAGAAGGCTCCCCGCTGGGCAAGGAGCTCGATGTGGAACTCGATCCCAGGACCCTGGGATCATGACCTGAGCCAAAGGCAGCCGCTTAACTGACTGAGCCACCCAGGCATCCCTTATTTTTTTTAGGGATTTATTTATTTGAGAGAGAGAGAGCAGGGGGAGGGACAGAGGGAGAAGGAGAATCTAAAGCAGACTCCCTGCTGAGCATGGAGCATGATGCAGGGCTTGATCTCAGGACCCTGAGATCATGACCTGAGCCAGAACCAAGAGTCAGACGCTCAACGGACTGAGCCACCCAGGTGCCCCAGATAGATAAGCTTTTAGGGGCGCCTGGGTGGCTCAGATGGTTAAGCATCCACTTTTGGCTCAGGTCATGATCCCAGGGTCCTGGGATTGAGCCCCATATTGGGATCCCTGCTCAGCGGGGAGCCTGCTTCTCCCCCTCCTTCTGCTTCTCCCCCTGCTCATGCTCTCTCTCTCTGTATCTCTGTGTCTCGAATGAATTAAAAAAAATCTTTAAAAAAAAAACTGGAAGGGACCTTTGAGATCATTTAATACAGCCCCTATATTTCTCAGGTTAGTTATCTGAAGTCAAGGAAATAATAATAATAGCTAACATCTATTGAGCTCTTATCTCACCTAATCGTTGTTAACAACCCTATAAATAAATCCCATAGAAAGCAGTGGCATTGCTGGCTTTTAGGAACAGTTTTCTTTGGTTCTCTGCATTTGAGAAGAACAGTTCATATTTCTGTTATTAAATTAAGTGGTTTCTTTATATTTAAATTCATAAAAAGAAATAGTGGTTATTAAAAGACAGTTACACCTGTTAATTGTAAAACTGTATCTTTTAATGTAGTTACTGCTGTTTTTAGACTTTTTTCCTACCCTACACAGCTTTCATATTTTAATAAATACACCTGCCTTTATAGTATTTTAAAATATACTTAATAAAGTTCTGTCTTAATTTTTTTTTCTTGATCCCATGATTGTGAAAACTAGTCCATTTAATTTTTTTGAATTTTGGAACTACTTTGTCAATCATATAATATATAATAAATAGTGTGTATATGTGTACATATATATAATATAGCAATGTTGATAAGTGTGCTGTGAGTTATATTTTGATCTGCTTTGTTATCTGGAAATTTTATTTCTTTAGTGTCAACATACTACTAATTTTTGTTGCCCTTAAATATCTTGGCAGCTAAGAGGATTGTTTCTGTTAGTGTAAAGATGAAAATAAAATCATGATATACTATGTATGTGATATACTATGTATGTGATAGAGAATATATCATTCAAAAGTTTTGAAATCTTTTTTTACACTTTGTGTCTGTGAGATTTTGTATAGCTTTGATCAAATAGGTATTTTTTCTTACTAATTTCAAGAATTTTTTTAGTCACTTGATGTATTTTAAAATAAATTTCTAATTATGTAAAATTTTAGTTTTTCCTAATTTCACAGTTTATTTTGTTTTATTTTTTTAATTAAGTAGGCTCCATACACATCGTGGGGCTCAAACTCACAACCCTGAGATCATGAGTCCCATGTTCCACCGACTGAGCCAGCTAGGCGCATTTCACAATTTAAAACAAATGCCAGTGTTAAATAATAAATCTGTGGTATCCATTTATTCAATATATATTTAGTGAAGATCTGTAGTGTGCCAGGCACACTTCTGGCATTAGGAGAGAGTGGAGAGGAACGCAGACATGGGCCTGTCTCAGTGGATCTAATCTTCACCACTATTTTCTTGATTTTAGATACAGATACTTATTCTCATGTACTAAGATTGGTCTGCCTTGATCATTATTTTTTTTTTTAAAGATTTTATTTATTTGACAGAGAGAGACACAGGGAGCAAGGGAACACAAGCAGGGGGAGGAGGAGAGGGAGAAGCAGGCTTCCCGCCGAGCAGGGAGCCCGATGAGGGGCTTGATCCCAGGACTCTGGGATCATGACCTGAGCTGATGAAGGCAGACGCTTAACGACTGAGCCACCCAGGCGCCCCTGATCATTATTTTTAAGGAAAGAGTTTGACAGCTGATGGTAATCAAAACCTAACCTGACTGAACATTCGATAGCTATTTTATTTATTGCTTTGCTTTCAAATTGTGAATTCCAGTACTCGGTTCTTGTTTAGTTTGTGGAGGGATATATTTTTTATTTTATTTATTTATTTATTTTTATTTTTTAAAGATTTTATTTATTTATTTGAGAGAGACAACAAGCATGAGTGGGGGGAGGAGCAGAGGGAGAGGGAGAAGCAGACTCCCTGCTGAGCAGGGAGCCTGACAAGGGGCTCAATCCTGGGACTCCAGGATTATCATGACCTGAGCTAAAGGCAGATGCTTAGCCTGACTGAGCCACCCAGGCACCCTGGGATATATTTTTTAATCAAGAAGTAATTTTAGGGGCGCGATCCCAGAGTCCTGGGATCGAGCCCCGCATCGGGCTCCCTGCTCCGCGGGAAGGGAAGCCTGCTTCTCCCTCTCCCACTCCCCCTGCTTGTGTTCCCTCTCTCGCTGTGTCTCTCTCTGTCAAATAAACAAAATCTTTAAAAAAGGAAGTAATTTTAGTAAAATGTTCTCCAAAATATTTAGTTTTTTTATTTTTAAAAAAATTGTGGTAATCATAAAAGTTAACCATTTTAACTATTTTTTAAGTGTACAATTCAGTTGCATTAAGTACAGTTACAGTGTTGTACAACCATCACTGCTATCCATTTTCAGAATTTTTTCATCATTCCAAAGAGAAACTGTGTAAAATCCTTTACTTTTAAGTATTTGAGGAATATTGGTTATTTTCTTTTTTGGGTGAAGTCTCACTTGTCTTCCAGCAACTCAATATTCAATGTGATCTACTTACAGTTACTGAATTCTGAGCTTGTCATTGAATTAGAATGGTTTCTTTTGATTTGTACTTGTTCCATGTTTCTAGGTATGTATTAAAATTGTGTCATGTTTCATTTTACTGTAATTTTTTATTTGCTTCTTTTGGAGCAGTGAAATAGATACATATGAACTTTGAAGGATATCAAACTAAGTTATGTGAACACATAGAAAATTGTTTAGAGAAGGGAAGAAAGATTGAGGATTAAAGACTGTGGTACACAAAACCATCTGACAGTCTCAGACACAACTGGTTTCCTTCCCCTCCTACTAAATGCCTGGAGCAGGAAGCACATCTAGTGTAAAAGATCCTTGGGTCTGTGATCTAAAAGAATTCAGTGCCCCAAACACTGGGTAGGAATTGGACTCGACAGGAAAGATTGTTCAGGAGATCCTCTGCCTGTGTTGCTCTTTGTGCTCAAACAAAAATACAGCCCTTTAAAGAGTTTTAAGCATTATTTCGAGAGGAGTTTAAATACCCTATTCACATGACAGATGTTAAAATGTAGTTTCCTTGGCTGCTTCTCTTCCTCATTCATAACAGTCATACACTGCTGTTACACAATAAAGAAATGGAGAAATTATCAGGGAACCTTTTTCAAAAAATTCTTTCAGTTTTTTGGAGAGCAAATAGGAATTTAAGAAAGTAAACATGAAAGTCATTTGAATTTTAACTTTACCTATTAATCAAGATAACTTTTTATTACTTTTTCTAAAAATATATTAATATACTTTTAATACAAACAAAAGTATAATTTTCATGTGTGTTTATTATTCTGTTTTTTAAAGAGTGACATTCCTAATGAAATATATTTATTACAGCTCAAAGATGGTGGCAAAGCATCCCAGGCAAATGTAAGAATAGGCGATGTGGTTCTCAGCATTGACGGAATAAGTGCACATGGAATGACTCATCTTGAAGCCCAGAACAAAATTAAGGGCTGTACAGACTCTTTGAATATGACTCTGCAAAGGTAATTTGCACTTTATTTGCCTCTGAGAGAGAAAACAATACTGAGGAGTGTGTTTTTGTGTATCTGATTTGCGGTGTTAACTAGGAAGTTTCTACTACCATTGTTTCAGGTAGATAAATTAATAAATATAATGGCTTTTAAATTGAGTAATCAAACAGTATGAAAAATTGGTGAAAGCTTTGGATTATTTCCCCATAAAAAGGCATGTCATTCATGTACTGATAAAAATTGTGTGTACGGTTTTAGAAAAATCTAAGAATTCCTGAAATTTCTCAATAGAGTACAGGCTAAAAATTCTTATTTATAGGGTAAAACTCTTGGTTTTACTATTCTGAGCAGTATATTGGAAGGTATTCTTTTAAGATATGGTTTGGCTATTCTTAGTATGTCTTTTGCCCTTTTATCCCTGGGTAGAAAAAATATTTTTACATTTGAAATGCAGATTTTCTGAACTTACTGTTTTTGTTTTTTAAAGTTACTCTGGCCTCAGTTATAGCATAGCTAATCATCTCATTAATTATAATATATCAGGCATTTTGAGCATTTCAACATTTGACCTGCCTTGAAATCATGTGGATTGCTTGTTAAAAATACTGATAGGAATCAGAATATCTGAAAGGGCCAAGAAATATATTTTAATAAGTTCCCTATGTTTATTATGAATTCTAAAGTTATAACTACTGCAGTATCTTGGGCCCAGGGGAAGGCAGATGAAAAGAAATGGGGAGAGAGTGACTGAATGATAGCTTTCAACCTTTAAGGTTTATAGGGAACGTAGCTATCACTTAATCAGCTGGGTATGGAAGATTTTAAATAAGTCTTGTTTCTGATGATTACAAAAGTGTTCTCTAGTTCTATAAAATTTGGAAAACACCATTTTCCCCCCAAAACATCTCAGAGGCTTCTGTAAATTATTGTGTATATTGTTAATTTTTAAGAGGGGAATAACATATATGGTACCAAATGTATTTGGCTATGGAACCTTTTTTTCTTGGAGCCTCTCCTGAGACTATTTAAAGGATATATACAGGGTAAGTTATGTACTTCTCTGGAAGTGTATCAATTTGGTCTTAAAACTGAATAGGAGAAATTTTTATGAACTTAGACTTACAGATTTACTTTGATGTAACCAGTCCCCCCCCCCACCTTTTTTTGTGTGTGGGAGGGAGAAATTCCTGTCAGTGGACTGTTCAGTCAATGGTTATTTGTGTTTAAATTTTGATAGCTGTTAGGTATATGTTTTAATGCATATAAAGGAGTCAAAGAGAAAAAAATAACCTTGCTAAAAAGTTCTATTTTTGTAGTGTCCTTTCTGTTCTGTGTACTGTGATCTATAACACAAAATTATTGTTACTAATTAAATGATAAGTAGTCATTTTTATTTATAGTCGTTTTTACTAAGTATGAATTTTGAAAGGGTACCATGAAGTCAAGAAGCTTAGATGTTAGATTAGAAGCTTAGATGTATCTTATTTTCTTTTGAAAATACTTCTGAGTCCCATAAGAATAGATGAAACCAGATGTTACCTTGTTTGTATACATTTCCAATTTAAGTAATCTGTTAATGACCCTTAAGAAAGATTCTTTTAAGCTACTTAAATATGAAATTTAACAAACCAAGTCATTCTAAACATTTGGAGATACTGCTTAATCTTGTCTTCATATTTCTGAATATAGATAATCAGGGCCCAAAACAGGAGAGAGAATTTTAGAGTCCCATTGTTATTCATTGTAATTCTCAAGTTTTTGAACACTTGTGTTAAGTAATGTCAACCTGAAAAGAGATTTGCATTTAAAAGAATTTATGGTATAACACTGACAATACTACTGGGGCACCTGGGTGGCTTACTCGGTTAAGCATCTGACTCTTGATTTCAGCTCAGGTCAGCTCAGGTCATGATCTCAGGGTCATGAGATCAAGCCTTGCATAGTGCTCTGCGCTGTGTGTGGAGCCTGCCTAAGATTCTCTCCTTTCTACTCCCTCTACCCCCCACCCCACTTTCTTGCATGTGCTCTCTCTCTCTCAAAAAAAAAAAAAAAAAAACAAGCCCTAATAACAGTACTACTGAAGAAATACTTTTTGCCTTTCAAGGAAAAAAATAAAACTTTAAAGAGTTAGTTTCAATCTTTCCCTATACTAAGTTGCTTCTTTTCCTAAGTTCTCTCTCATATGGAAGCAAATATTTTTTCTTCCACTTATTTCTGAATTTGACAACAGCATCCTTAATTGGCCTCCTGTTACCTTACCCCTTTTCTTCCATCTATTAACCAACCAGACTGTTTTGTAGTCTCCTTCCAAACTGAATGACCTACAATAGTGCTTGTGCTGTGTCACTCTTTTCTTCTTAAACATGTACTTTTCTTCGTGAACATGTAGTACTTCCCTTTACAGACTTGTCATAGTTCAGTTTCCCTGGAAGCAGAACCTGAGATAGAATTCATGTACAAGTAATATATCAAGAGAGGTCCTTGAAATGGTACAACAAAGTGAGCGAAGCAGGATTGGGAAGAAGAAGAAACTGAGAGGATGTGGTTTCAGGGGTATCTAGCCTCAGCTTCATCCAGGAGGTAACTTTGGTACAAAATTGTACCACAGAGGCTGTCTTGCCTTGAGGCAAGGGAACAGGGTTTTTGTCCCCCCTCTCTTGCATTTGTTAGTCAGTGGCCACCAGTTTTCCTGGAAATGGATGTGTGTGGTTGTGTGTGCATGTACGTGCAGGGTGGAGGGAAGGAGGTAGCTTCCGTTGCTTATACAGAAAGTTGCTGGTGTGAACCTTTAGCGTTTCATGAGTGGCTGTAGCACCCTGGTAGAAGGGTTCCAGGGGACCCAGGCTGGGTACCCAGCATGTGCTATGAGATTCCATCCAGACTTGAGTCTGCTTGCTCAGAGGATTAGGTTCCCTGTGATTTAGACTCAAATTGTCCTCCCCAGATCAGCACTACTTATCAGTGAGTACTATCATTTTATTTAAGATAAGTTTCCTACTATCCCTCACCTGCCTGTCTGTCCTCTCATGAAATTCACTTCATCTGAGATGCCTACTCACCTCTTCACTGCCAACACAAGCCTCTACATCCACAAAGCCTATGTTGAACCTCATTGTCTACCTGTTGTCTTTTCTTACTTTTGCAACTCATTCATTTTTTCCCCCTCTGAACTCCTATGACAAGTTTATACCATTTGATTCAGAATTTAATTATGTGCTAGGTATAACCAGGAATAACAAGGCAAATTCCATGAGTCATGCAAATAAACCTAATAGTAATAGTCATACCTAATACTGTCCATGTATAGTATAGTATAATAATCACTCCATGTATATTAGTTCTGCTTCTCCAGCTAGACTCCTTGAGCATCTGAGCAAGCAGATGCTTGCTTAGATCATGTTTTTTGCATGGTCTGTGTTTAACAACATCTTGTATAGTTTTATGTTCTTAATGTCTAATTAATATTTGATGGGTACCAGCATTAATTCCCAAACTTGGAATCACTTACTTATTTCACAAGTAGTTTTTGAGCTTTTAGTATGTGCCAAGCACTGTTACAGATACTGGGGACATGCAGTGAGCAAAACAGACAAAAATCTCTGCTTCACAGTGCTTGCCTTTTATTGAGTAGAGATAGACAATAAACAAGTAAGTAAAAGCATGTATTACATCCCATGGTGATAAGTGGTATGGGGAAGAATAGAGCACGTAAGGGAGATAGGGAGTGCAGGGGTAGGGAATTGCAAGTTAAAATAGAGTGGTCAGAAAAGCTTCAGTGAGAAGGTTATTGGATATGTGGGTCATGCGTGTCCTAGGCAGAGGGAAGAGGTGGCACAGTGACCTGATAGGGAGTCCAGTAGGCCTGGAGCAGAGTGAGTGAAGGTGGGGTGAGTGAAGGTAAGAGATGAGGTCAGGGAGGTAGCAGGAAGTGGCTTGAGATGGGACAGAACTTGTAGAGCCACTGTAATGTTTGTAATCAAATTTAAGTTTTCCTGGACCTAAAAAAATTGTGAGATAGCCTTGAAGAGTTGTAGCTGCCCGGCCAGATCTACAGCAAGGTCTGGGAGAGAAATGACTTCATTATTGGAAGGAGGGGCTGGAAGGAGGAGCAGACCAAACTTACCACGTCTTGGTAGTGGTGGCACTGCCTTTTCCTTCTAGCATTGTCAGAAACACTGGGTGGTTGCCACTTTTGCCGAGTTCTGCTCACCTCCACCCAAGAATGCCGAGGGGGAGAAGATAAGAGAAAAGCCATTTTTGTTTTTGAAATGAAAGTTACCAGCAATTTTGTTTTGTGAATTTTTTTTGCACTAAGTATTATTGATATGTATCATATGTATCAACTCATTAAATAAATATATAGTATATACACTTAATTGATTTCTTTAGGCCTAACCTCAATATCTGAAAACAGGATTTAGATAAGAAAAAGTAAGATAAAGATGCTTGCTTGTGATTAAGGTTGTTTTGTAACTGTTTTTTTCTATCTAGTCTAATTCGGGGGTATTTAATAAAGCAAACATATTATCTCTCTGTGATATCCTAAAAAGATAAGACTTGATTCACTGTGTTCTGGGTATCTAATGAATATGGAGGTGTGGAAAATTTTATTTTAATCCGTCTTTTATCCTTGGAGTAGGATTGGAAATTTCTTTCTTTCTTTTTTCCTCCTGCAACTGCAACTGATTCTGAGTACAACTGGACAATGAAAAATTCTATTTGAAATTATTTTTCCTCTTGGTGAAATTAGGCAAATAGCAGTATCCTTATTTTTAAATATCAATTGCATTTTGCATATACTTTTATCCAAGTCAAAATGGATCTTTTTTAAAGTTACATTTCAGTTAACAAAACAAGAAAATTACTTTCTAAAGCTTTGATGTTGAGTAACTATTAACTAACTACGTTAGAATTGGATTCTATGAATAAGATTTTTAACTTTCATTTTATTTCAGTAGTATTCTGCATAACACAGATAAACTTGCTACTAACTTACTGTATGAATTGAGGCA